ACCCTCAATAGCAAAAAGGGCAGAAAATCATTTTCAGAATACACATTTACAGTCATAAACTAGCAGCTGTGTTATATTCAATGCAGACACCATTTTGGTACAAAGTCATCATTTTGGACTTCAAGAACAAATCCACATGCCCTGGACTCACTGCTGTCCAATCACGAGGACCTCATCATGGCTGACATTTGGCCAAGCCTACACCTCGCTTCTGCCATATGCTGACTGGTGAGAAGCTGACGGTTTTTCTCTACTGAGGGACTAGGTGTTGAGATGTCCAAGGACATACAGGGGATTGCAGAGAAACGTCTTCATTGGTGGGAGAGACCAGAAGTATGGGCTGTTGGTATAAGACTGCTGCTAATAACTGACCAGCGGCAATGTGGAGGTTTCTATTGTGGGGGAAATGGTTGAGGTGAGTAACACATGTATATTCGATGAGACACTGGCTAAAGCCCTCGCAGCCAGAGAAATATGTTGATGGGTTGACTTGAATTGAGGGTGGGAGGATGTGCAAGTGGCAAATACGCATCAGCACAAAGCTAATGGGCCGAATGGCCTCTGTGGCGCTGATGTGCAGTACTAATGGTCAGAATCGGGAAGATTGATGGTTGACTAAAGCAGACAGGGAAGACGCTGAGAAGGGATTCAAACTCAGTGTTGCAAATCTTAAAAATTGTAACGTTATCAGACTAGGAATTAGTGCAGGTCAACATGAACACCAGAGGCAGTCCTTTTCAGAATTGACTTTAATCCTCCTATTTGGTTTAGACAACTATAGTCTGCTTCTAATGACTTACTGGCAGATGCCCTCTCAGACAGCGGCTCTGGTCTGGGAATACATTCATATTCAGTCCAGAGTTCCACCTTTGAATATCCTCTTTCCAATCTGAATGAGACTCTTGTTGGAATCAACAGGTTTCAATTAGAGAGAGGATCTTCGAGGGAATTACAGGTCTAAAGAGATGGTCTTTGAGGAGTTAGGAGACTACAGGGATTGTCTTCACTGGGAGGAGTTAGGGATCTGGACGGGTGGTCTTCCATAGAGAGTTTGGACTCTAGAGAGATGATCTTCAGTGGTGAGTTAGGCGATGGGAAGAATTGGCTTCATTGAGGCTGTTTAAGGATCCAAACTATAATTAGAGTGGGGGATTTGCGAGAGAAGACCATTTTGGGAGTTAGGGGACAAATGGTTTGGAAATTTTTGGGAGGGTTAGTGGCTAAAAGGGTTGGCATTTGATGAGCTTGCTGTACTGTTCCATGCTGACTTGCAGTTCTTTTGTAATAGCATCTCTCCATCTGCCATCCCCCGATCTGTCTATTGTTAAATATGCATTGTGTGTTACAGGAATCGAGGCAGGCATATCACTCTGGAGCCCGTGATAACAAGAACCAGACAGTAGAGGGTCATCAGAGGCCCTCCCATTGGGTCAAGTAACATTATAGGAAGCATGTTCTTGCATTGAAAGCTACATCTTTGACTGGTGTGACAAGACAACTAAGGAACTCAAAATTTCTTTGTATATTTCCGGAGACACAGATGAGCGGGTCTGTGAGCGGTGAAGGCATTGTTAGTGACTGGTTTGTTTGGCCACTATGATGAATTTCCCTGGCAACTTTCTCACCGTGGCTTTGTTTGCCATGTTTCTCCAGTTTCATCCAGATGCGGGGTACAGAATTCATGTGCCAATTTGTTCTTGATGCCTGCACCCTTTGAGAATAAACTATCAGGCCCTGCAGCAGGAAGTTGCGGAGGATTAAGATGTTCAGGGAGAATGCATGGTGGTGGCAATCAAATGAACTTCGCTGAAGCATGTAACTCGACCCTGACTTGATTCTGCTGGCACATGGATGCACTGGCAAGCTTTCTGGATTGTAGAGTTAACCCTTTGTCGCCTAGAGTGGCAGTCTTGCAGATGCCATTGCCTGTGCCAGTAAGCTTCGTGAGGAGCTAGCAACTCCTGTGAGCGAGTCAAAACCGTGACGGGGTCCTCAGATTTTTGGAAGGGAATGAGGTCAGGACCTGTGGATAACCACCCTGCATCCCCCCACCCCCACCCCTACCAAAATTTCAGACTGTATTTGTAATTTTATCCATCTTATGATGAAGAGTCTTACGGCACACGGCTTGACTTTCCAACAGTGTAATACTTTCTTCAAAAGTGGGAAGAAAACAGAAAATTAAATGGCAGTTATGCAGCAGCGATCACTCGTGGCAAACTGACAAACAGGGGCTCAGTCCTCAGCTTGACGTAGTTTCCCTGTTTGCCTCACTTGAGTTGGGTTGGGGTTTATTCAGGCTTAACAGCCCCTGTAGAAAGCTTGTGAGAATAATTTGCAACCCTTTTTCACAACTGTCGCTGGGAAAGTGACCCTCTATCCTCCCAGTTGCTTGATGTGGTAGGACAGTTCAGCTACATGACTCTTCAGCCTCACTAAGGAAAGCCTCTCGTTCATCCCTCATTGAAGCTGCTTGTTCAGATTTTGAAGTTTGTGCTCTTAGATCTTATCATTCGTAAAAAGAGTGAGCAATGGTACGTGAATAGGTGGCAACACCATTTGTGTTCCAAAGTCCTATGTTAAAGTACGTCATGTTGATTTTTCTACTTGGGTTACTTCCGAAGGCTCGTCGCAACCTGACTGCATCAGTTCATAGAGCAGGCTGCTCAAATTCTTCATTTACTGTTTCTCCAACTCCAATACTTCACTCTCTGCCACACTACCTTCCATGCTCTTCTAGGTCTACATCTGTCTCAATCCTCACTATCTCTCAGACTTCCACTCTTCACTTTGCGTGTCTGTCTCCGTCACCAGTGCCTCATTCTGTTTATCTCCAGTGTCTTGCTCTGATTAGTAATCCATCTGTACAATACCTCAGTACAATACCTTATCTTCCCATCTCCAGTTAACGGATCCTTTTTCCAAGAATAATTTGCATTCCTGCTTCCTCCCTCAGTTACTCTCCACCCTCTATGTACCAAGTTTCCATTCCACTTAAATGTGGATGATCTCCAAGGGTGCTATCTCTCCATCTGCAATCTGTCTGTCACTTCATCCCTGATGTCTTGCTCACTATACATCCCCAATTCATTATTGTCAATCACAGTATCCTCATTTCCTCAAGGTATCTACTGCCTCATCTCCAATTCCACACACTGCCAAAATATCCAATCTTTCATTCTGTCTTTCCTTCCAACTCCAGTCTCATTCTTTATTACTTTCGATCACCTGTCCCTCACTCTATCTCTACATCTCATCCTCATTTTCTGTATCTCTCCAATTCCTCATTCACTGTGTCTCATCATGTTCAATGTTTCTCTGTCTGTCTTCTGTCTCCAGTGCCTCAGTTTGTCAATCTGTCCACCTTCAATCTCGCTATCTTTCCGTCTCACTCACTACCTCTAATGCTTCCATCTGTCCATCCAGTACAATTTTTCACTCTGTCCATCTTTCTATCTCTAATTCCCATCTGGCTTCATTTTCTATCTCCAAACTACAATCTCTCATTTATTTCTCCATTTACAGTCCTTCACTGTATCCCTACAGCTTCAATTCTTTGCTGTATCCATCACAGTATGTCTAATTCCTCACTCCGTCTACTTGTCCATTTCTCTGCCTGTTTCTTAGCCTTTTATGCCTCACTCACTATCTCTGCACCTCCAATCCATCTCTCTATCTAATTCACAGTAACCAATTCCCCGTTCTATTCTATCTCTCTATCTTCAATCTCTCGTATTCTCTTCCTCCATCACCAATACCTCTCATAATCTATTTCTTAATCTATAATGCTATCTCCATCTCAAATTCCCGATTGTGCTTTTTCATCCGTCTCTAATACCTGACACTTTTCTGACCATTTCCTGTCACAGATTTGTCTATCTCTCCATTTTCAATCTCTCATTTATGTCTTTCTCCAATCTCAGTATCCATTTCTAATCCCTCACTCTATCTCTCCATCTATAACGCATTAGTTTGTTTCTCTCTATCTCAAATTCCTGATTCTGCCTTTCCGTCAATCTCCACACTCTCCATCATTGCCATCTCAAATCTCACTCTCTGTCTTTCCATCTACAATCTCTTCTCAGTCTATCTTTTCTCCAGTCACTCTATCGCACTCTATTCAATCTTTCATTTTGTTCAGCTCTCCATTTCAAATCATTCGCTGTTTCCTCACACAATCTATCCAGGTGTCCAGTTCTTCACTGTGTCTGTCCAATCCATCATTCTGTCTATACATTTCAAATCTCTCATTTTGTCTATCCATCTGTCTCTGAATCCTCACTCTTTCACTCTGTCTTCATCTTCAGCCATTCGTACTCTCTACCTCTACACCTCCGATTACTCACTCTGTCATGACATATCCAAAATGTCCACTCTGTCTAGTTTACCTGCAAATCTACCATTGTTACTCTGTGTCTCCATGGGTACATGAATAGAGGGATATAGGCTAAATGCTGGCAAATGGGACTAGATTAGGATATCTGATCAGCATGGATGAGTTGGACCAAAGGGTCTGTTTCCATGCCGTACATCTCAATGATTCCAACTCAAATTCCTCACTCACTCTAGTTAACCATCTCCCACTTGCTGTATCTAATTCCTCACTGTTTCTTTCCCCAGTTCCATCATAAAATTATTTACTTGGTCTACCTCTTTATCTTCAATTCCCTGACTGTATGTATCACATTACCATTCCACAAGTCTATCTATGTATCTACATCCTATCCCATATATCCCATCTATATCGCCTTCTCGAATCTCTCTATCTCCCTATCTCCATCCAAATCCAGTTCGTTTCTCTGTCCTCAAATTTTCTCTCTGTTTCTTCATCTCTGATCCTTGTTCTGTTCTACCCTACAACTCTAATCCTTTACTGTTTCTACCTCTGTGCATCCAATTCCTCTGCGTATCTCTCCATTACTAATTCTTCATTCTTTGCATCTCTCCATTTTCAATTCCTCACTCAGTTGGTTCCCCTATCATCAGTGCTTCCCTGCTGTTTGGCTCAACCTTTCAGAATTCTTACGGTCAATCCCTCATTTCTCCATTTCCAATCTTTCACTTTCTCTATGTGTCCATCTCCAAATCCTAGCTCTGTACATCACATCGTTGACCTGAAAATCTCTGAAACTCCTTTTCTTCAGTCTTCATAACACTCCATCACCAAATTCACACTCATTCTATTTCTTTATCTCTACTTCCCCAATCTTTCTATCTCTCCATCGCCAAGACTGTCAGGTGCTTTGTGTGCTTGTTACAATGAAGACAGGATGATTGGAAGGAATCCAAAATGGCACAATCACCAATGGACCCGAAAGTGGGGAGCCAATGGGATAAGCTGGTTCCTGTACTCAATAAACATAGGCACCTGGCAAACAAATGAAGCATTTCTTTGGAGGCAAGAGTGTTAATCCTGCATCTCTAACAACGCAGAGGAAGCAGAATTTTTCAAAATAGGGCAGGATTCCTTAGTCACTGTTACTCAACTAAGGAGGGGTATATAATTACTTTGAAACTGACATTGCAAATCTTATTATAACAGTGGCAAAGTCACTGCTTGCAAAAAAAACCAGATGCAACCCAAAAACATGTTGCATGCAGAGACAAGAATTGTCTGACATAACCCAAACCCTCACTGTAATAATCACTAAGATAACCCATACTCTTACTGTAACATTCTCTGATATACCCCACACCCCTTCACTGTAATACTCTCTGATGTACCTTAAAATCCCTCACTGTAACACTCTGATATAACCCACATCCCTCACTGTAATACACACATATAACACCCACCCCTCACTGTAATTCTCTGATATACCCAACACCCCTCGCTGTAACACTGTCTGTATACCTCACAAATGTCAATGTAACTCTCCGATATAATCCTCATGTGTCAATGTACTTCTCTCTAATATACGCCAGTCCCCTCGCTGTAACACTGATATGCCCCACATCCCGTCACTGTAACACACTCTGATGTATACCACACCCCTGACTTGGTAACGCTCTGATATGTTCCACACCACTCACGGTAAGTCTCTCTGATATAGCCCTCACCCCTGACTGTAACACTGTGATATATTCCACATCCCCTCACTAACACTCTGATACACCCCACACACGTGACTATTACTCTTTCCGATATAACCCACACCTGCCACTGTAACTCTCCCTGATGTACGCCATACTCCTCAATATAACATTCTGATACAGCCCATGCCTCCACTCATTCTAACACTGATATATGCCACATCTCACTATAATGCTTCCTGATAAACACCACACACCTCACTGTGAGACTAATGGACACCACAGGCTTCATCCTCACGCTCTCTGATATATCCCACACCTCTTCACTGTAACAATTATATATTCCACACCACTCACTGTAACACTCTGATGTGTCTCATACCCCTCACTGTAACACGCTATCTGATATGCCCTACACTCCTCATAGTCACACCTGATGTATACCACACCCCTCACTGTAATGCTCTATCAACACAAACCCCTCATTGTAAGTCTCTCTGATATACCCCACGCCCTTCACTGTAACACTCTGATAAACCCCAAACTGCTAACTGTGATTACTCTGATATACCCCACATCCTTCACTGTAACACACATGCATATAGCCCCCACATCTCTCTGTAACACTGAATATACACTGTACACCTCACGGGAAATGTCTCTAACACAATTCTCACCCCTTACTGTAACACTTTCTAACATACCCCACACTTGGATATAAGCAACAGCTGTAACACTGATTCACTCTGAAATACCACTTATTTCTCACTGTAACACTCTGAAATATACCTCACCCTTCACTCTAACACTCTCCGATATACCACAAACTGCTCACTGTAACTACTCTGATATACCCCACTCCCCTCTCTTTAAAACTCTATTATACTGCATATCCCTCATTGTAAAACCTGTGATTGATCGCACACGCTTCACTGTATCACTCTTATATGTCCCCACGCCCTTCGCTGTAACACTCCGATATACCGCAAACTGCTCACTGTGTAACTACCGCAATTTACAGCACTCCCCTCTCTTTAACACTCTATACTGCACTTCCCTCATTGTAAAACCTGTGATTGATCGCACGTGCCTCACTGTATCGCTCTCTGATATACCCCACATTTCTCACTGCAACATACTCTCATATACCCCACAGCAGTCAATGTAACACTGTGATATCCTGCACTCCTTACTGTAACACACACTGATGTAGCCTACATCCCCGCACTGTGACACACTCTGGTATACTCCATGCCCCTTTCTGTAACATTCTCTGATATACACGACACCCCTCACTGTAACTCTCTCTGATAAACTCCACACTTCTCAATGTAACATTCTCTGTTATAGCCTATGGCCCCCTAATTCGAACATGCTCTGATATGGCCCATACCTCTCACTGTAACATTCTCATATACTCCACACCTCTTGCTGCAATGTTTTCGAATATACACCACAAACCTCACTGTGAGACTGACGTATACCACAGGCTTCATCTTCACGGTCTCTGATATATCCCACAACACTCACTGGAACACACTTGGAAATAACCAACAGCCGTAACACTGATTCTCTCTGATATACCACATATCGTTCACTGTAACACACTGATATACCCCACTCCCCTCACTGTAACACTCTCTGATATACCCCACACCCCTCAGTGTAACACTCTCTGATAGACCCGACACCCGTCACTGTAACACTCTGATATACCCCACACCCCTAACTATAACACACACTGATATACCCCACTCCCCTCACTGTAACACACTCTGATATACCCCACACCCCTCAATGTAACAGTCTCTGATATACCTCACAACCCTCACTGTAACACTGTCTGATAGAGGCCAC